CAGCCCCAGCTTCAAAGCATGGCCACGTCCGGATTTTGTTCGCTTACTCTTCCAGTGCCTACCCTACAGGCTATTGTGAAGATCAAATGGGGTAATTTATGAGTGAAAGCCCTCTGAGAGCAGGGGATTTATTTTGTTCACCACCTTACCCCAGAGCCTAGAACAGGCACAATGCTGTTGTTGAGTCAGCAGGAGGCAGTGGTCAGTGAAGAGAATGAATGTGGAGCCGTGCGCAGCACCGCACTCTGAATGGTGGTTCCCCTCCCTCCCTAGGGGAGCACAGGGTTTGGGGGGGGAGCTCCAAAGTGCTCCCTTCTGAGGAGCCAATTTTTTGTTGGTGACCTTTGGTCATTTGGTGGAAAACGTTTTCTAATAATCTGCACTTTTCATCCAGGCTATTTGAAAGCTTCCCCGCTGTCCAGATTGTTTGTATACCTCAGTATAATTTCTTGGCTTCTAAGAAAAACAGCACTTCTTGTTCTATTTTTAGCTTTCAAACCAGTGTGTTGCTGAAGCCATGAATGAAGAACTAACCACTAATGATGCCTAAGGCTGCCTCAGCTTATTGAGCCAGTCTGGGCTGAGAGTCGTGCAGCTTCAGGTTGGACGTGGATTGCACGAGGGCAAGGACAGACTGCCTGCATCCTGCTCCATCTCGCTGGTAGCCCGTTCCAGATACACAGCAGTAGAAGAGGGATACCAGCCCCACTGGGAGTAGATTAATAGAATCAAAGGACACTGGACTCATTCTGTGCAAATTTAATCAGGCATCTAATACCTATCGGGCAGTAGGCTAGATGTGGTTTGTTTGATCATTTATTTATTCAGCAAATATACACTGAATGCTCACTATGGACCAGGCACTGGGATTACAAAGATGAACAGGACAGGAAGTTGCCTTCAAGGTGTTGCCAACCTTTTGTCTCTTGGATGTGTCTGCAAGAAATTATTGCAAGGAACTCAAGCATCAGGTTGGGTTGCTCTGTGTAGGTGGGTAGAATGAAAATGCTGCTGTAACTTGAAATCTCTTGAAGTTGTGCTCTAATATAAGTTTATTGCTATGCAGTTGATTGTGACCTGCAACCAAGAGCTTCACCATAAAATGGAAAATATTTCGAGAATTTAAATTTCTCTTTTTTACCTGTATTTTCACCTTTCAGTTCTAACCGTATCCACTTTGGGTGTAAACCAGAATGCCCTTTTCTGTCTATGTCTGTGGAATGACTACACCAAAGATTTCCTTCATATTTTCCCGAGGCTTTTGAGTTAACCAAGGCAAGAAAATCTGAAGTGGAAAGTGTTTAAAGGGATAGCTATTTAGAGTATACAATTGTTGCTGTCTCACTAGACCAGAAATACCAGTTTAGGCATTTTAGAGAGCCCAAAATTATAGAAAATGCTCCAGTCATTTGAGGTAGGGAAAAAAATGGAGCTAAGTTCCCGTGAAAGCAGCCTCTTTCAGACCAGTGAGGTTCTAGGGGGGTGAGGGAAGTTTTGCAGAGTGAGGATATGATCGGTGACACATGGGGAGAGATCTGTCTTCTTCCTATCTGAGGTTTGGTCCTCCTTGCACCTCCTGTGCTTCTGTTGGGATGGGAAAATGAACAAACGTTTTACACACTCAGTCACTTCAACATGGTCATTTGAAATGTGCACTTAGCTCTCCTGGAACGTTGCCTGGAGAGCCTTGATTTAATTGCTGGGTTTTGGCCAGCGTCTACATAATGTGTCGTCTCCAGTGTGCTGGAGATAAAGCAAGGCAGTGAGAATTCCTCAGTGTCTCCTTGTGGGCAGAGACGCGGGCAGCTGGGCGAGTTTATCAGAGGACTTTGGATAGGCGTGGAAAATCAGCATTTAGGCTGAAAATGTTTTTTTGGCCAGGGTTTTTCTTGGTTGAGTTTTAGTGTTTTTATTAGTACATGTCTCTCTTGGTTCTCTTGATTTTTGAGGATGCTTCCTTTCTACATTTGGTTCTGCTTGTAGTGTAAAAGAAAGTAATCATAAGGATAGCATTATGGCTTCTCTGCAACATAACCAGAAATGCCCTGTGACTATCCCATCAAACATGCTTATAACGACTCTGAAAGTGACTTTCTAGAGAGAAGGCGTGATGCCCCCTCCTTTCCTTGTTCTCCTCACCTCGTTAGGGTTAATGCCTACTGTTTGGGAAGTTGGCTCATTCTAGGTGTACGCCTCTGATCCAGCCTTCTGAGATCTGCTGCTGGACAGAATTCTTCACCATGGCAGTTTGTTTTTTCTTTGCCATTGCACATGTGGAGCCTTATATTATTGGTTGTTTTCTTTTCCTTTATGTTTTCTCAGTGGGATTATGAAGTCCCTAAGCAAAAGGACACTGTCCTCACTGTTAATGTTTTTGTCTCTGTTCCCTTCAGCTTTGGCACTGTCTTGTACAACTATCTTGTCCTTGAATATTCCTCCCCAGCCCCTTGAGGAGCAAAAAAGCCTGAGTGATGCCTGCCGGAGATTAAGTGGGGAAAGTGGATTGGAACCTGGGTAGGAAGGAATCTTAAGAATCCTGTCGGGCCTATTCAAACGATGACCTAGGTCAGAGGTTAAGAGGAACAAGGTGAAAATCACTTGTGTTAATTCCAGAGGGACTGTCAGAGGAGCCAAGACAAAAATGGAAGGTCCCCAAGCCAGTACCTCTGCTTGCCCCCACCTTGCGGACGATGTACCCCATCTATGGGCATCACCCCTCTCTTCAGCTGTTCCCCAGGGTACCCACCCAGTTCAGTTTTATCACCAGCTGCATCTGGAATTTGAAATTTATTTTCTTAGTTTCTGTGTCAGACTGCCTCACCGAATCTCCGCACACCATTCTAGGTTTGGTAAATTACTCACAGGACCAGCATATAGTCATAATCATGGCTGTAATTTATTACAGCAAAAAGATACAGAATGAAAGCAAAGGGAAAATGTGTGTGGGGCAAGGTCTAGAGGAAACCAGGTGCCAGCTTCCCAAGGCCTCTCTCGGTGGAGTTACACAGGACACACGTAATTCCTCTAGCAGCACGTGTGAAATGTTGTCAGCCAGGGGCGCTCATTAGAGAACCAGAGCCCAGGGTTTTTACTGGGATTGGTCACATAGGTACCCTCTGCCTGGCAAGTACCAAAATTCCTGGCTCTCAGAAGCAAGGCAGGTGTGAGCGTAAACCATAGTGCACAAACAGTTTAGGTCCAGTGAGCACAGACCCACTTCTACTGCAAGTTTCCAGACACTCGTCAAGAGCCTTCCTGAAGGTAACAGTTTCAGGGCCACCATGTTGCCTTTTCTACACAATTTCTAAATTTGCTCCTGCCTTTTCACGTTGAATTTATTGACTTGAAGGTTCAAACCTGTGTCCAGTGACTTGAGGCCCTGGCACGGTGGGCCTAGGTGTGCTGTGACTTAGGGAGAAACCTGGTCTGGACTGACGGGTGTTTTCCTCTCGGGACGTTGTTTTACTTTGACCCGCTGCTGCCTGCAGCCTGTGTTTCTGCCAGCAGGGCAGGTTTGCTGCTGCCTCTGTCTTCTTATTAAGACAACTCATCCCATTACTCCCATTGCCCTGCTGTGGTTATCAGACCTTCCGGCCCTGGTCCTGGCAGCGCTTCCTGCTCTTGGTTCCCAGGCAGGCTCTGGGGCGCCGACGGCGCTGATGCCGCCTATGGACCCCACAGGCTCAGACTTGCAGCCCCGTGTGCAGCTTTCTCGGGGAGAAACCAAGGTGCTGTTGTAGCTAACTTCCACTGAAAGCCTGTCTTACCATTTTTAGAAGTGTTCCTTGGAAATCTTTCTTTGGGATTTGAACCTCTTCTCCTTTGAGTTTTGCTCTTCTGTTTCTGTTTCCTTTCCTCTTTGGTTTTCACTTTTGAGTTTTTAGGTGCCTGGTTTTCAAAATCACATCATGGTGATAGTTTAGTCCTACTTTTCACTGTTGTCTCTGGGCAGGCTCATTTTTACTGACCTGCCCCTTCTGCCCACCCTTGGTCCACAGAAGTTCCAAGGCTAGTTGTTCTGCGGGGGTTCTGCACTGAGGGACATCTCAGTTGTGCTGGCATCTTGCATCATTTGTGTTTGTATTAGGTCCTGTGTGTCTTCTTACTTATGACTTGAACTGAGTACAACACCTGTCTGTAGTATGACCTCATGACATATTAAAAAAAAATTATTCACCTACTCCACAGTTTTTGCCAAATTGTTGGCAAAGTGTGATGAAGTGGGGATTGACTTCTCACTGATTGTGGCTAAACCAGTCTGGCGCCATGCGAACTTGGGGCAGCCTCACTAACGTGCCCTCAGGATTCAGTCAGGGCTGGCAAGGGGAAGGGAGGGGAATTGTCCTTCTAAATTGACTGATGGCCAGAGACCTACTGTCATGGGAGTCTCGTCGCTGATTAGCCCTTGGGGACATGAGTCTTTTTGCCACGATTGTTTAAGTCTTACCTGTTGCTGATGTAAGGACTGTAGAAGAGGTGCACTGAGGGGTCAAGCTGCACAAAATGTTCTAGCTCTAAGGGAAAAAGATGATTGAGTGGTGGGGGAGGGAAGGGGTAGGTGCTCTGTGAATGGACTGTTGAATCCTTGGAATAGAGTTCATGCAACTGAGGAGCTGAATTTTAAATTTTACTTAATTTCAGTTCATTGAAATAGCCACATGTGGCTAGTGGCTTCTGTGTAGCACAGCACAGGGACATGGTTATGGTGTGGTCTTCAGAGCCGTGATTCTGATCCCAGCTCTGTTGACTACCTATGTGTGACCATGGGCACATTTCTTAAACTTGTAAGGTTGTTTTGAGAATTTGTTGTTATCCATGTTTGGGGTTTAGAGCAGTAACTGGCAAGAAATGTGTGTTTAGTTAATGTTGGCTTATTTTTATATTTACTCAGTATTTTGAGTGGAATTGTGTTAGAGTTCAAGTGGAATATGAAACTCTACTTTTTTTTTTACATTTTCATGTTTTCTTGCTTTTTTTTTTTTTTTTTTTTTTTGCTCTAGGTTGCTGCAGCAACTGGCCACACAGTGATGTTGGTGGACCAAACGGAGGACATCCTGGCAAACTCTAGAAAGGGAATTGAGGAAAGCCTTAGGAGAGTGGCCAAGAAGAAGTTTGCAGAAAATCCCAAGGTAATTTCTTGTTATCAGTGTCCTCAAGACCAGTCCTCTGACCACTTCACATTTGTTGAGGGAATTCTGACCTTTGCTTGCTTTTTCAGCTTGTTTGTGTAAAACTCATTTCCCCATAACTTTAGGCCAGTAGAATAACATAACCACTAAATACTCCTTGTGGACTGACAGCAGAACAGGAGACGTAACTGACCATGTTGTTGGGTAGGTTTTGAAGAGGAAGTTTGTGCAGGTAGTGAACTTTCTGTCCGCTGAGAATTTGGAATTGAAGAACACCTATTTTGTTATAGGAAGAGATGGAAGAGAAGGAAACAGGAAGATAATTTTTATACTTGCAAGTTAAAAAGAAAATGATAATAGTAAATTTTGTATTTAGAGAGAAAATTTTGATTTCTTAGATAATGCCTTATGCTTATGAATGATGTACTTCCCGAGGGAAATACGGAGAGTCATTCTCGCTTTCCAGCAGCAGGTGAAGAACAAGAACGGGAGGAGCTCTTGGGAGGCTGGGAACTCTAGTTTGCTCTCTTTTTCATCGGACCTTTGCAATTAGAAATACTGCAGAAGTCACCCAAGTGAATTTTTGTTTACCTTTGTCACCTTATTAAAGTTGCTTAAGGTTAATTTCCTTGGAGTTTAGCTGGAATTTCTCTCCATACAGGTAGAGGAGAGTGCAGATAGTTTTTGTTGTGTTTTTCACCTCAGGTATCCACAGTGGTGTGTCTTGTTGCCTCCTAGAATTTTTTTTATTGTGGTAAAGTGCATATAACAGAATTTGCCATTTTAAGCTTTTTTAGTGTACAGTTTGTTGGCATTTACATTCACAGTATTGTTTGACTACCACTATTACCTATTTCCAGAACTTTTTCATCGTCACAAACAGAAACTCTATACCCACTAAGTAATAACTCCCATCCTCCCCCAGCCCCTGGTGATTTCTGTTCTACCTTCTGTCTCTCTGAATTGCCTATTCTAGATACCTCACATAAGTGGAATCATACAATATTTGTCCTTTTTTAGCTGACTTATTTAATTTGATATAATATCTTCAAGGTTCATCCATGTATTTGTAGCATGTGTCAGACTTCATTTCTTCTTATGGCAATATTCCACTGTATGTCTGTACCACATTTTGTTTATCCATTCTCCTGTAGGAGAACACTTGGGTTGTTTTTACATTTTAGCTTTTTTGAATAATTCTTCAGTGAGCATTCGGGTATTGTCTGTTCAACTCCCTCTTTTCATTTCTAGAAGTGGAATCACTGGATCATACGGCAATCCTATGTTTAGTATTTTGAGGAACCGCCAAACTGTTTTCCATAGTGGCTGCACCATTTTACATTCCTACAAGCAGTGAATGAAGGTTCCAGTTTCTCCACCTCCTGGCCAACACTTGTTACTATATTTTTTTCATAATAGCCATCATAGGAAATATGAAGTGGTATCTGACTGTCGTTTTGGGACTTGCATTTTCTTAACGTATAGTCACCTTTTAAAATATCAGAAGGGCAGGGGAGGAGGTAATGTTACTCTCTCCCTGAAGAAGTTGAAGCAGTATGACAGCAGATTAAGACCTTCTTCTCCTGTCCTCCATGTCCTTAATGATAGAGGGAGCGGATACAGGACTACTGTGATGAGGGGTGAGGGAGGTGGGAGTCAAGGACAGGGTGAGCCTGAACCTAGGTAACCTGCACTTCCACTTGTTTGCTTTGCAGACTTCTGCAGATTGTCCCCCTTGGGCTGAGGCTTTTGGTCCCTGAGGGTAAAAAGATGGCATCTGTGTGACCAGTGCAGTAGCCACTAGCTCTAGGTGGCTATTGTGCACTTGACATTTGGCCAGTCCAAATCAAGATGTACTGTGTAAGTGTGAGACAGACACTGGATTTCAAAGACTGAATAGAAAAAGAACACAAAGTATCTTGATATTTAAAGATATTGATTATGTGTTGAAATGATAATATCTCAGATATATTGGGGTTAAATAAAATTAATTTTACCTGATTTTTTTTACTTGTTAAAATGCAGCCAGAAGGAAATTTAAAATTACCTCTCGTCTTGCATTATGTTTCTGTTGAACAGCTCTTACAATTGTTAATTCCTTGATAATTTTGGATACCTTTGCTGAGTGTGACCATTTGAATCCCCATGGGCAAATTACATCTTGTAATAAAATGGCAGCTGATGGGGCACTATCTGTTTCTGCCCTAGCTGAAGTCTATTTGTGGAAACCTGGAGGCACAAATGAGGAAAAGATAGGACCGCAAGCTCTTTGAGAGCAGAGGCTGTGGGTGGAATGTTTTTGAACGACCAGTTGCCGATATGTGTTGGGCGATTATTATTTGATGGGTGACTGCCAAGTTCAACTTTCTTACCCTCCTCGATGCCCTTACTCAGCTCTTCCCTGCCTCCTGTTAGAGGGGGATAGTCAGCACCGCCTCTCAGACTCATGGATGGGGCTGAGCTAAGCTTTTACCCTTTCTGAGAGGTCAAATTCCAGGCTTCATGGAAGCCTGTCATGGAAGAGTACACGGCAGTCTGTTCACTTGAGACAGGCAGAGCAGGCCGACACAGGTGTTGTGAACAAGCAACTTAGTAACTGGAGCAGAGCCATCCAAGAGCTTGAAGGGTTATGACTGACACAGGACAGTGTGTTGACTACCAGCTGGGATTGCTCACGGGCTGATTCTTGCCCTGGTGTCCCAAAGTACGTTGAGATGTCCCACTCTAAGCAGAAACATAGAGAGTTGTATTTCTCAGATTTTTAGGGCACTGTCAAGTTGTGTCTGAGGTGTGTTGGCCAGTTCTCACCCTCCTCTTTCCTCTCACTTTAGCAGCAAATCACACACCATTCTCCAGTGAGCCCAGTGACCGTTCCCTTCTCCTTCCTCCACTGCATTAGGCAGGCGATGAGTTCGTGGAGAAAACCCTGAGCAGCATCTCGACCAGCACGGACGCAGCATCTGTGGTCCACAGCACAGACCTGGTGGTGGAGGCCATCGTGGAGAATCTGAAGGTGAAGAGCGAGCTTTTCAAGAGGCTGGACAAGTTTGCCGCCGAGTACGTAACCCTTGGGAGATCTTGTTGGGTCTGAGGGCTTCCTCCCTGGCTCCTGGTACTAAGACTTCTCTTTTTGTTACCCACAGCTGTTTTCAGAAGAACCAACACTGTTTTCTTTGTTCTCTGTCCTCTATTCCAATTTGCTTCCCGAAGCTTGGGCTGCCCTGATCTGGTCCTTGTCCCCAAACAAGGGTAGAATTTCCCATGTAAAACAGAGGGTCCACGCAGGGCCAGACCTTGATCTCTTGAAGCATCTGGGTCATGGACCCTCCCGGGTCAGAGGATGAACGCCCTTGGACATGTCCTTAAATGTTGCTGAGCAACCTCAGAGCAATTTGATGTGCCCCCTCTTTTGAGTGGAACCAACAGAATGGTGTAGTTGAAGGGAATGCCTCTGTCTACACAGTTTCCCAGGGCTCTCTGGCTTTGAGCCTTCAGTGGGTTAAATCAAAACACTCTTGGGAGCGTTTAAGGACCACTGAGTTCTTAACTCGGCTTCTTGGCAGAGGGTGGGAGAGGAGAGCCAGCACCATGTAGGTCAGACACAGGGGAGCCCGGGTTCAGGACCATCTGTGCAGTATTACTAGGCTATGCTCACATGCCACTGTAGATTTATGCATGGCTCCTGCGATTGTGACACCTGACTGAGTCACTTATGCTCTCCTTGTGGCTTGCTTAGCCACACTTTACCCTTCTTGGTTGGAACTGGAAGTCAGAATACGTTTTATGACAATGGTAATTCTTAGGCAGCCACCAGTGAGCAGTGGCTAAGGAGAGACGCTTGCATACCGGCCCATTAGATTTCAGCCTTCAGAGCTATATGGCCTTGTGGCCAGAGAGGCCCTGCCCTGTCCTTCTGTCACCTGTATGTTACTTTGCTGATCAGCACACTCATATGCTTTACACTGGCATTTAAGGGCTGTGGCACCATCTGACAGAAACAGAAGACTCTCCAGGTAGGGGTGTTGGCTTCCAAGTTAGCAGGGAGCCCTCTAGGATGGAAAAACACCCACCCCAGGAAAGGGAGTATTATCAAGCAGTTTGGCCTTTATTGAAATGTTGATTATTCTCCCTCGTGACAGTGACAGGTCTGACTGCTTTCTTATGTCAGTGTTGAGTAATGGGAGGACTGTTGGGGGAAAATCAGGCGGCCTGGTGCCAGGCCCTCACCACTTCCCCCTCTGACCCTGAACAGTCACGAACCCTCTCTAGCCTTCAGTTTTATCATCTGTAATTTGAGTTGAGGGGTTAGGGGTAAATAATTGCCAAGACCTTCCTGGTTCCACTCTACAACTAGTTTCCCTATCTGCGAATTAGGGATAGCGGCACCTAATGCACGAGGTTGTTAGGAAGCTGCTGGAATTCAGCTCACAGTTCCTGAGAGCCTACTGTATGGCAGACACTATACTAGGCTCTTTCACCTAAGTTTGTGTCATAAAACAGATGTGATGTGTGAAAGGGCGCGCCATAGGTGTGACTTTACTTCTGGGCACAGCCATCTGTCTCCACACTCTTACTTTCATTTTAGATTACCACCATTATTTGATGTTTGCTAAATTGTGTAGGTTGTTTTTTTTTTTTTTGAGGGGGACTAGATTTATTTTTTTTTTTAATGGAGGTACTGGGGATTGAACCTATGTCCTCGTGCATGGTAAGCACACCACACTCTACCACTAAGCTATACCCTCCCCAGTTGTGTGTGTGTGTTTTTAAAACAGTTTGACTGAGATACTTTACTGCCAAGTTTTGCAGTTAGATCCTATAATGGGAGATGAAAATATGGTCTAGTGATTAAATTCCAGTTGGAAACCCTGATGAAATGATTGCATCGTGTAAGAACGTGACTTCCCTAAGCTGCAGCATTAGAAGTGCAGATGAAAAGCTTTGCCAAGGCCTCCAGCCTGCCCCAGCTGAGTCCTGGTTCTCCCCTTTTGACAAAGCATGGACTCCCTCCCGCTGCAGTCCCCACCACCCGCTCTAGTCTTCACTGGGGGCCTGGGGGCATTGAAATGACCATCATGCTTGTGCTGCTGATTTTCTGTTAGTACATTTAAGAGGAAAGTAATTTTTTTGGTACCTGAATGTCAGAAAAGAAAAACAAAAGATGGTCCTAGAGAGTCAAGTGTTTCAAGGAAAATGTGAGAGTGTGCTTTTTGATGGAAGGTAAAGACAGCCGTGTGTGTTTAATATGTATATATGTTGCGTTTGTGTGGAAGGAAGGCAGCGTGAGATGCTGTTAGGAGCAGAGCCAGCCTGACCGCCTGGGAGAGGTAGAGGCAAAACTCTGCTGGGAAGAGACATCTTTCTCCTTCTGGTAAAATGTGTGCTGGGAGTGTTCTGGGTTGCAGACACTCAGCACTGGGCCCTGATGTAGTCTTCCATTTGTATCTGCAGGGGTTGGTTCCAAACCTGAGGATGTGTAATCCTCTAATACAGAATGGGGTAGTATTTGCATATAACCTACACAGATCCTTCTGTATACTTCAAGCCATCTCTAGAGAACTCATGATACCTACTGCAATGTAAATGCTATAAATCACACAGAGATTTCAAGTTTTGCTTTTTGGTACTTTTTGGATTTTTTTCCCCAAATATGTTTGATCCTGGTTGGCAGAACCCACGGATCCTGAGGGCCAACTGTAACTTCACTGATGAAACGTGTTCTCCAGTCAGTGTCCCTTTGTTTATCCTTTTTGCAGATGAGTTGCCCTTCAGGTGCCCTATAAAAAGGCACCACACTACAAGTATAACCCTCATCTCTGAAGTACCCCCTTTTTAAGCAAGGTGTGGAGCCCTTGCCGGCCCAGCCTTGCGTCACCGTGGCCCTGCGGCTATGGTTGAGGGCAGGTGGCTAGGCAACACTCACGTTGGCCCACTCCTGGTTACCGCAAGGGTCTCCCTGCCTTCTGTGATGCAGGCTGGCTTACAGTGTTTCGTCTAGACCAGAAAGCAAGAAACTTTGAAAACTAGAATTCTAAACCTTAAAAAAGATCTTTTTTTTTTTTTTTTTTAAAAGGAGAAGCCCCTCTACCTGGCCTTTAAATTGGCCAACTTGGAAGCTGTTTGAGAAAAGTTGGTGCTCTTGTGCCGTGAAAGTGAAGTGCTCTCCTGGGCTGAGCACACGAGGGGTCTCCCCTCAGCCTCTGGGCACCCACCACCCAGCCACAGGGCTCCTTTCGCCTCATTCTTCTCCTCTTTCCCAGTGACTAGTTTCTTCTCCCTTCCCTCTTGCCTCTCCTGCGATTTCAGGCAGATTGTAGTATTGCCTTTTGGATAAGCAGGAACCTCCAGTCTGGTTATAAGGGACCAGTCCCCTTCCTGCGCTGTGACCGGGCCCTTGTGATTGTAATTGGCGCTGTGCCAGTCTGTGTATATTCATCCACGAGGGAAGCAGAGAAGTCTCTGATTAAAGATTTGCCTGCCATGCCTTTGGCACCCCACTTTGCTAATGTCTTAAAAAGTAAATTTGGTTAAAGTCAGTATGGATTTTTAAATTAATCATTTACTATTTTATATACACAGAAGATGCTTTTTAAGGAGAGTTTATAAGCAGAATACCTTGAACTACAGTTATCATTATATACACGTATCCTTTCTTCCCCACATCTGCCAGTGTTACCTTTTGGACTTCTTTTGGACTATGTTGATTTTCTTCAGTTTTCATTTTTATTCCCATTCAATGGCAAAGTAAAGCTTTTCACTTGAGGGGAAAAGACTGTAGTTCATGTTTCTATCATATGTTTCTCATTGAGGATCCAGGTGTTTCTTCAGTTTTTTGTTTATTTTGAGTGTCTGTGACGCATCCTGTTTTTCCTTAGTCTTTGTTCACTTAGAGTTTCATCTTGTGACTGATGTTTTGCCTCGTTTTTATCTTACATACCATGAGAGTTAAATAATACAAGTAGCTAACAGAAATCCTGCTCCCTAAAATTAAAGAAGGATTGGTAAAGACTAAATAGGCTTTTGGAACATTTCAAATTACTTAATTTCAAATTTCAAAATTTGAATGAAACAGGTCACTTGATTTCAGCCTCTTGTGTGAAGTCGTGTCTTTTCCCTGACTTCCTCCAGGGTCAGGACGGCGAATCTAGGCAGTAAGCAGTCACCTCGTGCATTGCACCCGAGGAGTCACGACTGTTTTCAAAGAGGGGACTCATTTCAATCCTCCACCATCTTTCTCTCCACAGACACACAATCTTTGCCAGCAACACTTCCTCTTTGCAGATCACAAGCATAGCCAATGCCACCACCAGACAGGACCGATTCGCCGGGCTCCATTTCTTCAATCCAGTGCCCTTGATGAAACTTGTGGAGGTCAGTGGGTGTCTGCTGTGCATGTGTGCTTGCTCTGTGAGCTCTCAGTCCTGCTTCTCTGAGTCGCAGCTGCCTGCCACCGGGAATTGCACTGGGTGGACATTATTGGGAGGGTGGAGGGTTGTCCTTGTGCTTGTGTTTCTCTGGCCAGAGTGTCCTTTCAGATCCAAAGGAAGAAACAGTGCCTGAAACCCAGGAAGGTCCCTGTGCTTTGTTTCCTCGCAGCCCTGTGTTCTGACCGACGATGACTAGGAGGGTTGCTAACTTGTGGAATGTCACTTGTTTGTGCCGTAGCTGATGGGCAGTGCAGAGAGAGGCGTCAGATTGGGAAGGCAGCACTAGAGACCACCGGCTTGATGAGACCACAAAGGGAGAGCCACCCGTGTTCATATTGTCTCATTGAGGTCGGTTTGTCCAGGCTGGATGTGGAATTTTATCAGCCTAGTTTCCCACAGGAATCACTGTGATACCCTGTCTACTGTTACTGCGGTGAATTCAGCCCCAGGTAACAGAGGAGGCACATCTCCCATGTGTTGTGATCAGAGCTTTTAAAGCTCTCCTGGTAGCCTTGCACCTCGTGACCACAAACCCAGGAGGTGGTGGGAAGTGGCCAGGGAGGGCCGCTAGTGATCTTGCTTGGGCCTCTTCTGCTTGCTTGCTCATAGAGTTGGGTACGAGGGAGACGGAGTCACTATAGACAGTTTGCACCTGAAATGTGGCAACTTGCCTTTTAAAGGGGGGCTAATTACAGGGTCTGAGGAGCAGCCACTATTAAAGTGGCATTTGTTCTCAGATTGAGGAGTTACTGCCGTGCGAAGTGTGGGGGATGTGGAGCCAGCACACCTCCAGACTGGCTGGGGCTCCCTGGGAGAGTGTGGGGGATCTTTTTTCCCTCCAGGCCTCTTTCCCCCATCCCCTCATTTCCTCCACCTCCCACTCCCCCAACATAACCATTAGCACCTAGTTTAAGGATGGCTGTGTTTTCTTATAGTTTTCTCTCAGGAATAACTCTGGCCCATCTTGCAGTAGGAATTCCTCTGTTTCACTAACATTGCTCTTTAGCTTCTTCCAATTTACTGCCATTCCCTGAAGCTGTTTTTTGAAGAAGTTGAGGAATGAAAGGGAGGGAGAGGGGCAGGAAATAGAAGAAACAGCATTTATCCTTATGCAGAAAAGAGCGAGGAAGTGGAATGGAATTTCCAACATTTCAGGACTGAGGGACTAATTACCTTTTTGGTTACTATATCATGTACATATGGGTTTTGAAGATAAAGACACATTTTATAGGTTTACTTCAAACTCCAATACAGTTTTCAACTGCATTTATCTGATAATGTCCATCTATGTCTTTGGAAGTGTGGCGCATTGATTGTTAACAGTTAATGCTTGGCAAATGTTACCATTTCTAGAAAATGTTTTCTAAAAGTGCTCTTCTTTATACAATTTTTATTCTTTAACTTGAGCATTTGTGTCTGTGTCACTGGTGGTAAGCACCAAAGTAATCATGATTTGACGGGCTCCACTTGGGATTGTTCTCATTTATATACACGTATATGTGTATTTTTTGAGGCTCTGTATTAGAACAGAGTATCTGTAGTACTTGGTATTTGTTGAATGACTGAATAAATATTCATCCCTCCTATTAAAAAACCTTTACTGCTGACTCCTTTAAGCCAACAGATGATTTTTAAAACTCCGTAATTAGCAGCCTGTTCCCTAGCTCAGTCTATATGGTTCTGAAGGAGACTTTTACACCGCCTTAGGAATAATTCTCAGGTTGCAGTTTGATTTGTGACCCCTGCAGAGCAGTTTCTGGCCCAGCTCATCCGATGCCTCGTCCCCATCTTCCTGGTTCTTTTTTCTGTTTCCACTCACTTACCTCCCTTAGTGCCATAACATTCCACCACTTCCCAAGCTGTGACGACATTAAAACACGAATGATAATGATTCTCTCCATTTACGTAGCACCTTTCATCCTGCACAGACACTGGCTCATTAGGCCCCGCAGCCCTCTTACAAGAGGGAGGACTTGTCAACTGTCATCACCTCTTTCTCACAGAGGAGAGGTGAGGCACCGAGAGCTGATTTGACCTGCCTAAGCTCATATAAAGGGTCTCATGTAGAAGCCAAGACTGTTTGCTTTAACTCTTGTTGAAGTCCCCTACCTAGCATTTAAATTATAAATCTAGATATTTTAAGTTTAAAGTCACCTGGGTTTCTCTCCACTTGCAGAAGTCTCACTCCTGACAAGGTGAATTCTCTCCTGAGGGCTGGCTGCCAGGTATGCGGCTTGGTGCCAGTTCCTGTGGCTCCCAGTGGCCCACTGTGAGCGGGGCAGCACTCGCACTCCTGTGCTGCCCCTCACACAGAAGTCAGGAGGGTGGCCCGGAGCCTGCGCCAGTGCCTGGCAGGCGGCACGCCCCAGCCGGGGGCCCCTGTTAGCTGGAAGTGAAAGCCCTCCTCTGAGAGGAACCTGTCCTGAGGCAAATGGAGCCGCTGGGCTTTGGGGCACCTGTGTGGGAGAGGGTGGAGTACTGGGGGGAGCACTCGGCTCAGAGTCCACGGGACCCTGCGACTTGGCATATCGCTCAATGTGCCTGGGGGCTCTTCTCATCTATAGACTGAGAGAAGGTGGGACTCCATGCAGAGTACTTTAAGGGCGGTCATTATACACGAATAAAAGTCAGCATTTACTGGGCACTTCAGTCCTCCTAGGAGCTGCCCTTAATGCTTTACTTTCTTAATCTGATCCCATTCTCACCTCAGGCCCTTGAGGTAGGTACAGTGATTTCAATGTCATGTCAGTTTTAAGAAATATCCCCAGGGTCACAGAGTCGATCAGTGCTGTGCCAGGATTTGAACCCAGGTCCGTCTCAGTGACAAAGCCTGTAAAGCTCTCCTGCACATGCACATACATGTTTATATTTTAAGCCTTGATTTTGTATATTCTGCTGTAGTCTGCTATCTTAGAGTAGCAGACTTAGATGTAGTGCTTAGAGTAGACATCTTCGTTTCTGGCTTGAGATCCTTCTATTTTAAAACTAAAATTATCTTTGTTTTTGGTCAGTGTTTCCTTGAACTGTTTTATTGATATTGTTTGCTGACTCTCTGGTTATACGTCTTTTCTGCTTTGCATTTCCAGGTCATTAAAACACCAATGACCAGCCAGAAGACGTTTGAATCTCTGGTGGACTTCAGCAAAGCCCTGGGAAAGCATCCTGTTTCTTGCAAGGTAGAGTATGGGTAGGTTGCTAAGGCGGTGATTTTCCTTGGAACCTGACTTAGTCCAGGTAGAATTTGTCCATAGTAGAAATGATGTGGGAGATGGGTCACTTTTACTGCAGGCTGTCTGCAGGCTTTAAAGGGCAAGCTGCGCCTACAGCAGGAAAATCAGACTCCTAAGTTTTGCCCAAGGCCAGCTGTGGATAGCCTGACATCCCAATGGAGCCCACAGCTTCAGCTAAATTGAAAACTCAGACTTCCCTCTGGGCCTTGCCTTTTTTCTGTCGGTGAGCAGCTGTGTTTCCATAAATGGTTTTTGTTACCCCATTAGCTTAAGCTTCTGCTGGGCCTTGGGGAGCCAGAAACCTGTGTGTCAGGCACGGCCTGATGTCCCGGCCTGATGTCCCACGTATCCCAAACAAAACTAGAGCTTCACTTTTGGAAGGAACACTGCAGGCGGTTAGGGAAATGAGAGACAGAGGCAAAAGCCCATCCGCCCAAGGTAGCGTTAACCAAACTGTTTCTCGGTGGAATGTTGTGTTATGGTTGTTTTGTGTTGTTTTGTTTTTCAGTAAGAAACATGGCTGAATGGAAAGCATGCCTCTAGCCTTTTTCCCTTTAAGATACCAGTGATTGTAAAATTATCCCAGTTGCTATCACCTGCTTTTGTTTTGATTGTCTTCAATCTCTCCATTTCCTCTTTAGTTCCCATAAAACTTAGGGACTTGGCTTCTGACTTGGCAGATCTTCCTAAAGGGACAGTTAGTTTTATCACAAAGTGGCCATTATAAATTTTTATAAATACATGATCTACTTTTTTGACCATAATCTTAAATATCATTGTGGTTCTTCTCATAGCATACTTTTGCTTTCTGAAATATTCTCAAGTTTGAACTCATAGCATTGTGTTAACCTGTGAAAATTCAAATTGTTCAAGAATCATCTGGAAAAGTCACCTGTTGCTGTGGACCCCAGTAGCCAAAGAGAACAGACTTCCACGTGCCAGTTCCCCTGTCCAGAACTGTAGTGTTGTATTAAGGAGTCTCATTTTTTAACACTCATTTTTTTTGTTTGTTTAGTTTTGTGGTTTTAAAACATCTGGATTTAAAAAAATCACATTAATAAGCAGAGGGTATGGTTGCACTTTCTTATCAGTTTGTGCTTTGTTCGTGGCAGCAGGTAGTCATGGGTTAGAAAGGACATCAGTGCGCAGTAAATGAAAAATGAGGTGTGAAATGGAGGTGCGGGAACAAGCAGAGATGGTCTTTGGCCGCAGAGTCATACTAAGACTTCATGAGGAGAGTGTGGTATAGAAAAGTGAAGGCGACTCTGGAGCCAGCCTGCCTGGGTTCAGATCTTGGCTCTGGCATTTATTAGCTATGTTGCTTTGAGCAAGCACTTAACCTATCTGTGCCTCCGTGTGCTCTACCTCACATAGAGATAATATTAGTATTTGTCTCATAGGGTTATTATGAGAATAAATGAATTAATGTTTGTAAAGCACTTCGAACAACACAGTTCGTGGCATATGATAAGTACAGAGATAAAATATATTTAGTAAATAAATGTGTATGAAAAATGTAAGGTGAACAATTACATAAAATTAAATTGCCCTATTAAAGGACTGTGTCTCTCTCCATTCCTCCAGCGTTATGAGGGTATCTGTCTCCGCATCCTCAGCAGCACTGGCTGTTACAATGGGGAAAACCTGCTACCAGTAATCTTACTGGCAACATGCTGTTTCATTCTAATGAATATTTCTTTGATTACTAGTTAGTTTAAATATTTTGTGAGTTTCAGCACTTTTTCCTTGTTGAGTTCTATGAACTCTTTCTGTAGATGAAATTGTCTATATAAAAACCCATATATTATAATTGGAGAAAATATTTTTCCTGGACTGCCTTCTGATTTCTAACCTTGTATATGATATGCTTCATATATTTCACTATCCTACCCTATCCCGAATTTCTACAGTAAACTTTTTGAAGTTAGAAAGCATTTTTGCCCTGGTTGTAAACTCAACATTGTTGTAGTAACATAGTCTTGGTTAAACTGATAAAGCTCTTTTGTGCGTCTCTGTACTCCTGGGAGAGGGGGTAGGGGAGGTTTCACTGTGTCCAGAAGGAGCGGAGGTACAGATCTTGCAGCTCCAGCATGCAGCCAGGTCAGCTGTAGGAGCAGGGCAGGAGGCTGGTCGTCTTTAATTCAGATGTTGATGGAGTGCCTAGTGTGTGTTAGAAACGGACACGAGGCCTGGGGCCAGGGTGAGGAGTTCTGCCTGCAGGAGGATCACCGGGGAATGTTCAAAGAGGAGCCTCCCCTTAGTGGAAATCGGCTTCACAACAAAAGAGAGCAGTAGGTAGACTCCAGAGCCCACACCCGGCCTGCAGGAGTGGTGGCTAAGCATTTTAATGAGGTGGGAAATGACGAGAGAGTGTGCAGTACAGGGGTCGTCCAGGGTAGAGGGCCTTGGGTGGTGAGCTGTGAAAGGCCATTTGTCTGTCCAGACCTGCTTGTTTGTCGCGGCACCTGTTCCCAGCTCAACCATCCTGTGCCGCTGCTGGAGCGTGAGAAACTCCTGAAGCCGGGAAGTAGTGCCCCTGTGAGGATTGTTACTTTTTCTAGACTCCTGAAAGGGGTGTGGGAAAGGAGAGAAGTGGAGGGCTATATGCACAGCATTTTATGGGTTTCCTGGTTTATCTTCACAACTTGTGAGGTAGAAGTTACTGTACTATTCCCATTTCACAGATGATGAAACTGAGTTTCTGAGTGACACAGAGTCAGAGACTGTTAGAATTTGAGCCCAGATCTGCCTGTCCTCAAAGCTGTGCTCTTTTTAGTGACTCCTCTGCCTTGCTTGATCTGCCTTTATTTTGGGACCCATTGCAGTGGAGGGTTCTGGGGTACTAGAGTAGCTGGATAAATTGTCATGTAAGATAGAAGTGAGGCTGTGCTGGTACTTTGAAAATGTAGCGCTAGATAAATGTGGGTAACAACCCAGGGTTAGAAGGAGCAATCTGGTGACTTCACAAAATGATAAAGTTCAGTGAAAATTCACTTGTCTTCTTTTTGTCTCTCTCCTCTGACAGGACACTCCTGGGTTCATTGTCAACCGTCTCCTGGTGCCGTACCTCATGGAAGCAGTCCGGCTGTATGAACGAGGTAGCTGTCCTGAGCCAGGCCGGGAGCAGCAGGTCTCGGCCCTGGCAGGTTCTCTGGGAGTTCTCATGCAGGTCCTGTGAGAAGGGCCAGGCCATGTGGAATAGGGAAGGGGCTTCTGTTTTCTGACTTTGTGAATCAGTCTGACCCTGGGTCTGGTGCCTTTCCACTGAGTTTCCTGGGCCCCTGGATTGTCTGAGGCCCCTGAGCAGACTCTAGGATGCCCCATGACAGTCCCAGTCAGAGCAGTCATGTGGCCAACACAGAGGTATATTCTGGATCTCTGGATATATCCTCTTGCCTAACTTCCCTACCATACCACTGGAAAGGTAACTCATGTCTGCTCTGCTTCAAAGACAAACAGATGGAACTGGATGAAAAGCAAGTGTAATTTTCAGTTACTTCATTCACAAATGCTTGCTCCTGAGAATGTCATCTTTGTTTTTTATTTTCTTTTTATTGAAGTATAGTTGATCTGCAGTGTTGTGTTAGTTTCTGGTGTACAGCATAGTAATTCAGTTATTTATGTGTGTGTGTGTGTGTGTGTGTGTGTGTATAAAATTCTTTTTTATATTCTTTTTCATTATAGGTTATCACAAGCTATTGAATACAGTGCCCTGTGCTATATATAGTAGGACCTTGTTGTTTATCTATTTTATATAAATAGTAGTGTGTATCTGCTAATCCCAAACTCCTAATTTATCCCCCCACCCCCTTTCCCCTTTGGTGACCATAAGTTTGTTTTCTATGTCTGTGAGTCTGTTTCTGTTTTATAAATAAGTCCATTTGTATCATTTTTTAGATTCCACATATAAGTGATATCATGTGCTATTTGTCTTTCTTTGATTTACTTAGTATATTAATCTGCAGGTCCATCCATGTTGCTGCAAATGGCGTTATTTCATTCTTTTTATGGCTGAGTAGTATTCCATTGCATATGTTTACTGTATCTTCTTTATCCAGTCATCTGTTGATGGAATTTAGGTTGCTTACATGTCTTGGTAAATAGTGCTTCTATGAACATGGGGTGCATGTATCTTTTCAAATTGGAGTTTTCACCAGATATATGCCCAGGAATGGGATTGCTGGATCATATGATAACTATTTTTAGTTTTTTAAGGAATATCATTACTGTTTTCCATAGTGGTTGCACCAAATTACATTCCCACCAACAGTATAGGAGGGTTCCCTTTTCTCCACACACTCTCCAGCATTTATTGTTTGTGGACTTATTAATGATGGCCATGACTTTTTAAGGATGGCCATTCCAACTGGTGTAAGGTGATACCTCATTGTAGGTTTTTGTTTTGTTTTGTTTTGTTTTGTTTTGTTTTGTTTTGTTTTTGAGGTTTAGTCAGTTTACAATGTTGTGTCAATTCCTGGTGTACAGCACATTTGTATACATGCATATACATATATTCATTTTCAGATTCTTTTTCACTGTAAGCTGCTACAAGATATTGAATATATTTCCCTGTGCTATATAATATAAACTTGTTTATCTG